TCCCGCTGCATCCAGGAGTGGCTTCCGCCTTGCAATCCAAGCAGCCGCAAATAAGGGCTGGAATATATTTCACATGGGTTTGAAGACAGCATTCCTCCAAGCCGAAGCATACGATCAGACTCGTGACATCATTTGTCAGATCCCTCCTGAAATGGGATATCCACCACACATTGGAGCGCGCATGAAGAAGCCTGCCGACGGGCTAAATGACGCACCCCGCAGATGGTGGAACATCCTTGATTCGGCACTCCGTTCTTACGGACTGGTGCCCACCAGGGCAGACCGTTGTACATATGTATACTACATCAAGCAGCTTCCAAGGCCCGCATTGGTGAGTGCAAAGAAGTCATCCAATACTTTCGATCTCGAAGGAGCAGTTGATTACCTTATGGATCCTGTTTCCGGTAACAATGCCAAGAATCGACAAGTTCATGGAGCACTTTCTCTTCATGTTGATGATCTTCTTATGACGGGTGATGATGTGTTCGAGAAGGAAATCATGGGACGACTTCGCAAGGATTTTCAAGTTGGTTCCGAAGACAAAAATGATTGCCTCTTCGTAGGACAACGCATCCAATGGAAGCAAGACGACAAGCATGGCTGGTACATCAATGTCCATCAGAACGTTGCCATTGACGAACTTCAGGAGATCACTTTTGACAAGTACCTGAAGTCCTCTTACTCCACAAATGCATACTGCATACAGGAGTGTCCTAGGTCAGATCAATTGGTTACAATCGCGAACGCAGTTCCACATTGGTTATCAATGCTCCAGGTATGCATCCAAGGCATCATCACCGACCATTGAGGACGTTCGCGCCATTAAGACGACAGTCAGAACCATCAAAAGCATTCCGCTTAGTATGATATTCTGGCCCCTTCGTGGCAAGACACGCGTAGTTGGTTATCCAGATGCATCCTATCGCAACAATGAAGATAAGTCATCCCAACGTGCGCATGTTATATTTCTTGCAGAACAAAGAGATCTTCGCCAGGGCTCATTGAACTCGAGAGGCTCATTGGTCGACTATGAGACGCACAAGATCACCGCCACAACCATCCATGTCCACTACTGTTGCAGAACTGCACAGACTGATGCGTTGTTACGGTTCAGCATTATTTCTTCGCGGTCTCTGGTCAGACATAACAGGCGAAATCGCAGATGTACACATCCGCACTGATGCGAAAAATCTTGTCACCACAGCACCCACAACACATCAACCGGAACAGAAAGAGACAATGCATTTGGTCCAAATGTTGAGAAAGGAAAGCAACAGTGGACAGATGCATGACCTTGCACATGTATGGAGTGAAGATTGCCTGGCAGATTCGCTGACCAAGCATTCAGCTAAAGCAGACGAGCTCATCAAGGCCGTCCTCACCGGCAATCTCTTGAACGTTGATGCACATCCACCCTTCCGTACTATGTTGCAGAACAAGGCATTTTTGGTTGAGTGGCTAGCACACAATACGAAGCACGGACCCGACATCATTGCCTTTGCAGGAGTTGGTATAGCAGAATCCATGTTTGCTTATTGGGGAACCTGGGCATGATCCGCATGTCCACGAATTCTGATGCATGAGTGTTTCATTTTGCACATTTTCAATTCCTCAAATCCGTGATCTCAAGAAATATGTGTCTGCATCCGCAGCCACTTTCGGTTTACAACCATTCCGACCTTTGCAATCGTGTATGCTTGATCACCTCGAAGACATGCCGATTCTCAACGTGATCTTCGGACAATCCAGCACTGCGGCTCCTTCGCCGAAGCCGCTGGTGAAGAGACGGGCATCTCCATTGAAGGAATCCCCTGCTCGTGATGAGGAAGATGAGACATCCGACTGCCCCATGGAGCAGGTCGTCGATGAGAATCCATCCGCCTCTCAACACCAGATAATGTCAAGGAGCAGGTTGATTATGATCGAGATGCCGACAACCATGATGACCTGGATGACGAAGAGCAACCTCTCGCAGGAAATCCAATGCCGAAGGCGATGCCACATCCGAAACTGGTTCCGAAGTCAACACTGAGGCTTATGTCAAAGATGAAGCCAGCGCCAAAGAACATCCTGGATGAGGAGACAGAATCCGACAATCATCCTGGTGACCGACCTGCACTTCCAAGGCGGCCAGTGATGCGGCCAACTCTCACATCCAACGATAGGTGGCATGTACCAGATGGATCAGATACGGACATCAGCCTCCAGAGGAAATCCGTACATCCAGGACCTTTCGGGAATTCTAAATTCCTCAATTTCGTGTACGAATACTACAAGGAGTGCTCAACCATCCTCGAGACGAATCCTGACTTCCACTATTCATCCCTGAGCACGAACGACAACATGGAGCCAAGGTATTCTGGTTGAAGGCCAGATTCAACGATTACTGGAAGCCAACGCTTCAAGGTGAAGGCCCACATACAGAGAAACAATACATGGACTTCATCAACAAGGTCTACAGCATTTGCTGCTACACCAATGCTCAGCCAGAAGTTTACGGAACCGACATCATTCCGATGGTATGTCACAACCGCCATATTGATCTCGAGAAGACCGTCCAGAACGTTGAGCAGGTTTGCAAATACTTCAACATGGATCCATCCAAGGCAAAACAGATCACCGACCTCATCCTCTGGCAAATCGAGCGATTAAGCAGATTGTTTTCTGGATGTTTTCGACATGATTCCACGCTAGGCCAACACCGAGAATGCAAACGACAAGTGGACATGGGTCTTGATGGATCCGTTGAGCTCCACGATGCATTGACCTGCATTACGCATGCCAGGAGTTGCATGGGCAATAAGCCAGGACTTCTTTTGATGGCTATGTTCCCGAACCATGGGAAGGCACGTTTCGAGATTGCGTTCGTGTATCGGTGGGGTGGTGGGTGGTGGGTGGTTGGGTGGTTGGGGTGTGGTTCGGAGTTAGTTTAGGCTTGGTGGGTTGGTTTAGGGTTGGTTCAGGGTTGGTTTGCGGCGGGTTTCGGGTGGGTTTGGGGTTTGGGTTGATTTAGGCTTAGGGTTGGGGTTAAGGAGGGGTTGCAGGGTGGTTTGGTTTGGGGTAGGATGTTGCGAGAGGTGCTGGGGTGTTGGTTCACGGGGTGAAAGGGGGAGTCTGGGACCGAAGCTGCAGGGCTCACACGGTACTGGACAGCATCCCCAGCATCATCCCCAAGATGCAGATGATGCGGGGGAGTGGGGTACCATACCATTGGGGGGGGGTACGTGGCCCAGGGACTGGTACATCTATATATATATATACACAAAATATATGCAAACCCCCCCCTGCCATGGACCCTAGTTTAGTGCCTTTTGGGGATGACAAATGTCCCCAAAGCCTGATGATTTGGAGCCTGGAGTCCTCTAAAATGTCCCAATATGATACCCTTTCCAAATAGGATTTTACTTCAACTAAAATTATAATTTTGAATACGGTTTAGTAAGGATATAGTTTTCCAAGTGTCTTTTATGCGACGTGGAATGTGAATATAATTTCTGGTAAACTCCAACTAATCTTTAACGAAAGAAATTAGATTGGAGTTTGTTCCCAACTATAATATGAAGTGTTGAAAAATATGATACGAACACAACTCAATTAGCCTTTGATAATAACACTTAAATAGAAACTAATTCTCAAATACAGTTCATAATAAATATGGCTAAATGTTTAGGGGACTTCAAAAAGAACATCGAAATACGATTTGTGTTATTTACATTCTGGCCCTTTTGTAGTATGAGAAAGGTCCAGAATCAAACTTGCTAGACGGTGTTTCAATCTGGACATTTCAAGGTTCAAATTCATAAACTACCTCGAAACAGGGATTCTAGCTAAATAAATTGCATTTATAGTCTTATTTGGGCAGGAAATCATAATTCATTCTATCTCAAAAGGAAAATGGTAGTAAATGAGCAGAGGTGGACAGGTAGTTCGGGGGGGGTGACGGTGTGTAAACATATATTTACATATACACACATACATACAAACATATAGAACCCCTGATGATCCTCTAAAATGCAGTGTTTGCAGAATTGCACCTACCTTTACCTTCTGGAAAAGGGTCAAGATGAGCATAGCTTACATGAAGCAAACCGCTCACAAAAAGCACGTGAAAGCTTGTCTAATTCAGAACTTGAAAGCGGTTCCACTGGATCGCTAAGCACTAGAAAGTATTTTGCCACTGGATGGAAGATTCGGGATTGAAGATTACACAGAAATCCTCCTGAGAATCGTCAAACCTGGCCAAACCCAAACAACATTCAAGCTATTCTAACACTTGAAAGTGCTTACCACTGGATTAAGACGTCAAAACTGAAGATTGCCCAAAAAACAACATTCCTGAAAATATCAATCCTGGCCAGCCCCGAAAAACTTTCAAGTTGGGCCAGCCCAAAAAACAATTCAAGTTGTTCTAAAACCTCGAAAGTATTTGACCACTGGATTGAATACTCAAGATTGAAATACTCTCTGAGAATCTTTTCCTATCACTGTGAATCCAGAAACTGCGGGAACTTGGAGAAATGTATATGAGTGCAAATGGGTGCGCCTACTTGGTTGCAGAAATATGTATTGAAAACCTAGAGTGCTGGGACAACCCTGGATTATCTTAAAAAGCAAAAAAACATTCAAAACCTCCGGGATTCAGGATTCCCAAAAAGAATTCTCTCAGATTCTTGAAGCTTGAATATTGAAACCTAGATTTAGAAAACAAAGGTTGTCCCAATACTCTGAGATGGATGCAGACTCTGTCAGATGGCAAATGTTGAAATCTTTGCTTACATTACATATGTATGCACACTTGCATATAGACATATTGGCACCCCCCCCCCCCATGTTGCCACAAAATCAACAAGGCGCGAAAGGCAAAAAAACACTGGAAAACACAGCTCCAGCTCATCAAACCAGGGTCCATGCAGGGGTACCATACATATATATATATATATATATATGTATGTATATATATATATAATATGTCAACAAAGTCCGCGCTTGGGCACCCCCGCCCTGGCTGGCCAGCAGCTCGCTCCTGGGACTCGCCACTTCGCCGACCGGCCGGGTGTCTGTTTTTGGGAGCTGGCACCCTTTTTCGGGTGGTCATAAAGGGAAACCAAGAGGGAAACCGAAGCCCACGTTGATCCGATTTTGGAGCACATATTCGATTTCATGGGTGTGTCGCATGGGGAACCACCTGATGGCGGGTGTCTTTCCCTTCAAAACATTCCATAGTTGCCCACTGGCTTCCCATGAAAGTCTTCGCCTTTTTGCGTTAAATGTGTCCAGCTGTTTCCAGTGGAAACAACTGGAGCAGAAGTGAACAACTGGGTTTTAGCCTGTTTAGTGGCTTGGTCACATAAGCCGCATGAAGGACTCTCAGGAAGAAAAGCTGGATGCTGCCCCCCTGCTCCTCCTCTACAGTTGCACCATGGATTACCCTCCCACTGGTCTGTCACCAAGTCCCACGACTTTCACTTACCAAAAGGCAAGAACGCTTTTAGCCAATGGAAGCTGCCCTGGAACAAATGAGTAGGTTGCATCTTGGTGATCGCAGCTTGGGCATGCAGCGAACTCTAGCGAAATCCAAGCGAAATCCAAGCCCGTACACCCGCGCATGGTCACACATTGCGGGCCCAAACTCAACAGGAAAACCACCAAGCCTGTGGTCCAAATGTCCTGAACTCATCCGCCTATCAAATATTTTGCCAAGCCCCTTGAGCCTCCAGCGGCTACAGTCGGACTCCCAGGTCCCCGAGGCAAAATGGGGGAGGGGGGGAACCCTTGATTGAAACCTAACACCTGGAACTTTCCAACTCGTTTTTTCTCAAAGAAACTGCAGGAGCATCGGCAAGTTACAGATCAGAAATTCATAACGACCAAGAATTGAATAACAGATTTAGAAGGAGATGCACCGGAGGAGCACTCTGGCAATTCCCAGCTCCCTGCAACCCCATCCAACCGCCGCATAACGTCTTGCTTTTTTCTCGCCTTTTCGGGTCTTGGCGTCTTGGCTGCGACCCACAGCAGGTCTTGTCGGTGTGGTCCGAACACGCAAAGGGATGGCAACTTGTGGGTCAGTTTCAATATTAAGCTTTGAATGGTGGTGAAAAGGCTATCCACCCTCAAAAGCATCTTGCAACCCCCCTCATCAAGCCGCTCAGCGGGAGCTTCAATATGGCAATATGGAAGTGACCGGCATTCTTGCAGCTCTCTTGGCCAATCCTATCAACCCCAGCTTCCTTCAAAACTCGGGACTTTGTGTATTACTCAACAAATATGTTTCGCGCTTAGCGCATCAAACAAAATTGATCGACACCCTCAAAAATCAACAGAACAGGGGACTGTGGGGGTGCGGTTTCTTCTGTTTTTCTGCTTGCTTCCTGTGTTTCTTGTTGTGTGGTTTTCTTCTATTTTTGTGTGCCTTTTGTTGGTTATCTTCAAAAAACAAAAAAACCTCGAGAAAACCAAAAAAACTCGAGAAAACCAAAAAAACCTCGAGAAAACCAAAAAAACCTCGAGAAAACAAAAAAAACAAAAGAAAACTCGAGAAAACCAAAAAAACAAAAAAAACCTCGAGAAAACCAAAAAAAACAAAAAAAACAAAAAAACCATTCCTCAGAGACTCTTCCTCAAGACAGCCCAGCTCAGGTTTTCTCGAGGTTTTTTTGGCTTTTTTGGTTTTCTCGAGTTTTTTTGGTTTTCTCGAGGTTTTTTTGGTTTTCTCGAAGTTTTTTTTGGTTTTTTTGGTTTTCTCGAGGTTTTTTTGGTTTTCTCGAGTTTTTTTTGGTTTGCGGCGCTTGCTCATTTGCATTTTTTTCTTGGGTGGTGGCAGAGGAATTGTCCTTCTTGGAGAATGCCAGAAGAGCTGCAGCTTTTTTTTGCCATGAGCCATCAGATGCAAAACAATTGCTACTTCTTCATCTACTCACATCCCACTCACATCTACTTCTTCATGGCCTTCATGACCCTCATTGCCTTCATGAGCTTCCTGCCCTTCATGGCCTTCTTGCTACCACAGGTGTAAGACTTAGAAGCGAGGCTCTTACGAGGATCTGGGCGAAGATACTGTGCCTGGTTGGCTTCCACGGCGAGGTTGTGGCGCTTTGCCATGTACAGCATCACAAACTTGTGCCTGTTGGTGCGGAGCTCGTTGAAGGCTGTAGAGTAGTGGCGAAACCAAGAGAATATCTGTTCGCAAATGCTTGTGTTGACATTCTTGACGATCTTGCCAAGCTTCCGAACCTTTCCTTGGCGAAACAATGTTCGAGAAACTAGAATGCAAACAACTCACTTACAGATGAGGCACTGGGGTTGCATTTGCACTTGCTGTTGTGGCGGTAGGCGTGGAACCAATCCACGATGTAGTGCTCGATTTGCCCAAGGCTGTCTTCCTCATGAGCAGCGCGGACAATGGAGCAAGCCCGATCGTAGACAAAGGTGTTCAGCTTCGGGTACAGCCACACCACTGCATCAAGCATTTGGAGCACGTGCTGGGTGTTCTCTGGCTCCTTCATTACACGCAAGCCTAGGATCTTGCCCGTGGAGGGGTCGCACACCATGAACCACCCGTTGGCATGTTTGCCAACGCTTGCTCGCCCTGCACGAGGTCGGCCAGTCCTCCTTTTAGGGCCCTCCTGGCACAACATGTTGAGGCGCATGTTGCCATCCCCTACCACGATCTTGACCTTTTGCTTGTTCATAGGAGGAAAGAGGGTCCCGTGGCAGTAGGCATCGTACAGCTCAATCGTGTTGTCAGGGATTTCATCATCTATGACAATGGAAAGGTGGCGATCGAGAGGTTGGAACTCTTTCAATGCAAGGTAGTGGAACAGACCCGTGTGATAGAGCTTGCGGAAGTCCACGATAATGTCATTCTCACTGGACATGTGTGGGCTGTGGGTTGCGAAGTACGCATGCTCCACCGCGAGCGCGCTCACGTGACCGCGAAACATTAGCTCTTCATGGTACTTCAAGAAGTTCAGAGCGAACGCCTTCTTGGAGTTGACAAACAGCACACTGTTGCCTAACTGTTGGATGCCAATGGTGTTGATCTTCTTGCCATAGTTGTGGCCGTAGCTGGTGCGACAGTTGCGGGAAGTGCAAACCTTTTGTTCATGAAGAACGGAAACAGGACCATTGAGATCATAGCAAATGGCATTCACAAACCGCTTGTGGATGAGATTTCCTTCACAACCTGGGCATGTGCACTGAGTGAGGGGGCAAAGATACCGGGGCACTGCTGGCGGGATGGGAGCAATGGAAGCAGGCCTCTTCATGACCCCCCGTGTGGATCCACCTGTTGGGTCAAAGTCGGGGGAGGTGATAAGGTCATCGTGGTTGACTTTCTGCAAGGCAAACATAGTGCGGCCCTCTTGCTGCAGGGCGTCATACAAGCCCCCCATGCTCAATGAGTGAGGACATCATTGTCATACTCAATGACGAAGCCTTCGACAAGCTTTATGCCAGTGAAGTGACCTTGGGCCTTGGGCATGACAAAGGAACTTGCCGCTGCATGAGACCCTGACCTTGTGCACGTGCGTGAGCTTGACACCGAATGGTTCGATCATGCCATTGAGGTCTGACACCTTGAATGGGCCGTTGCATGTGTGCGGAACGGGTATACCAAGCCACTGCAAGACTTTAACCCCGCAGACATCCTGGAACGCATCCAATTCACTGGTGCCACCCTCCGCTGACTCGCTCTCTACCACATCCATGTCATCATCCACATTCAAAGAAGGTGAGTTACGAGAAGGGGCTGGCTCAACGGGTGGGTGCGGAACATCCCTCGAATGGCTCTGAACATCCTCGGAATCCGTGCCGAGAAGTTGGGCCGGCTCGTTGGGTGGGTTCGGAACACCCTCCGAAACCTTGCCGAGAAGCTGAGCTTGTTCCTCGGAAGGTTCCATTGCGGGGGAAAGGCTGGGCTCATCAGAGGGCTGAATCTCTGTGTTGTCAGGGAAGTCATCCATGTTATCCCAGATGTGGGCAAGCTCCTGCTCGAGGTCCTCTGTCTCACCAACAGCAGGGAATCCATTGTCAGAGCCAATATCACCTAGGAAGTCCGGGTTGGCGGGCACCGCAGTGCTGTTTTGGGGGGCAGGCACAGACGAGGGTTTGCAAGGCTTAGCTGGGTTGCTTGAAGAGGCTGGCTCTGTGGCATGCTCCTCCTCATTCAGGCTTGCCCTTGGCTGCTTCTTCTTTTGAGCTGCTTCCACACGGAGTCAACCTGCTCTTTCTTAACCTTGATGCGCATCTCACTTTCGGGCATCAGCCTGGGAGAGACTTGTCGGGGAGGCTGTCTTTCACCACCAAAAAGAGGAGCTGGGGTGCGGATAGTGTATGATCTTGGAATGGTCTCCCCATTGAACAGCTTCTTCAACAGGGTCTGGGACCAGATGGAGTCCTCAATGAAATTGGGAGGCAAAGTGTGCTTGTGAGGGTCCCGCTTGTAAGCTTCAAAGATGGGCTTTGAGGGGCCGGCTGAGATTTGCAATGAAGTTCTTCTCGTGAAGGAAACTCTCCAATACACACCGTTCTCTGTAATGACAATGATGTGGGTCCGATGGCGAGGGATCCATTCATATCCTCCATGTCATCGATGCTGAAGGAGGGCTGAATGAGGTTGAATGAGGTTCATGAAGTCAGAATGGGGGATAGTCCACATCTTCTTTGCCTTCATGTCTGCATAGACTTTGTCGTCCACGGCTTTGTCATAGGGGTTGTTGCATGCCTGTCTGCCTGCACCCTGGTCAAATTGGGCAGATGAGTACCGCGCCCACACTGTCGCATCTTCTTCCTGAGCCAAAGCAGGTTTTTCTTAGAGAAAGTGTCACTCGATTGCTATTACAGCTAAGGGTCAGATGGGTTGAGGAAAGCTTTGAGGAATGAGGCATCCATTTTCTGGAGCATGCCATCATCGAAGACGCCGGGCTTATACTTGGTAATGGGTTCCGCTTTGAAGAAATCCAAGTGTTTGGCTGTGACAATGGAGGGCACCAAATCCTCACGCTCATCCCGGTCGATCTCAAACTTGGACTGGGCGAAGAGAATGGTCTTGGACCCAAGCGACTTCCCAGTTCGTGTCCTGCCTATCCATGTGATCCCATGCTGGCGGATGGAGGGCAACATGGTGACAAGGACGCCATCAAAGAACCAATCGACGAAGCTCTTAAGGGTGAAAGGCCAGTACTCCAAGGTTTTGGCATTTTGCCGTCCGCGCATGTAATTGTGCAAGGCCTGGTTGACTTTGCCTTCCTGCCATCCTTCAATGGGACTCCCTGGGGTGTGGATCTGTTCGTCCGTCCATTCCATGAATTGGTTCTGGTTATTGGCACGTGGGCCTTGGTCCCTAATGAAGCGGTAGCCGTCTGCACGGGCCTGGTTGTCGATCGTGAGCTTCTTCTGGAACTTGGGCTGAACACACCAGAACCGAATTTGCTTGCCACCGACCTTATCCAACATGAAGTTGAATGTCATCAATGCCACCCTGGTATGGGTTCCCCAATCAAACTTCATGGCCATTCCACAGCAACAATCTGAGCAGTCCTTGACTGGAAGCTTGTTTTTGTGGAGGTAGACGTGCTTGAAAATGAGGACACTTTCCCGGGCACCATTCTCTGCATTGGGAGTTGATGGATCAGGCAGGATGACAATCTGCATGCTGTAGGGCACAGAAGGTTCTTTGCGAAGACGCCAAGGCTCGGGTAGCTCCTTGTAGAGACCCTGTGCGCACTTCTTATAGACAACATCATCGAAGAATTGCTGCGAGATTGTGCCTGGATGGTTTGGGATGACATCACAAAACTGCTCCAATTTGGAGCCCACCTGAGGATCCAAAAAGCGAATTGGGAGATCTTTGATGGATATATCTCCGGGAGGCCTATCGGATTTCATAGGGCGGCTTTCTGGACCAGTCAGCTTGCATCCTGCCACTTGGTTCACCGCCTCATCAAAGGTGAGGGCCCCATCCTGCCCCCCCATGTCATACTCGAAGCTAGCCACTGGCTCACGCACTGGATGAGCCATGGCAATCACAAAAAAGGCCAGGGACAAGTAAGGTGGTACTTGGCCCAGATGACTACATGTGCATTTGCAGTGACAGAACATACAAGAACATGCAATGACATCAAAATAACGTGCACACACACACACACGGAAACAAACACACCAACACACACACACACACACATCCACAAGTACATAAGAGGAACAACGCAACACAGCACAAATCAACAAAAAAGTGCACCCCCACAGTCCCCAGCCCTCAAAATCAAACCCAGCCACAAAACCCCAGCAAGCAGAAAGGCCGCCTCTCTCAGACTCTCAGACTGTGGGTCGCTAGCCACGGGACCCCCGCTTCAGGAACGGCAAGTCCCTGTCCAAAATTTGGAGAACCCTGCACCCCGGTCCACCGATGTAACCGATGTAACCGCGGTGTTGTGAGCCCCAATTCACTGGAAAGCCCCACAGCGCCTGGACAAACAAACAACACTTTCTTCCGTGGGACAATATGTGGTAGCGCCTTCCGTGGTAACCCCTCAGTGGCATTGACTACAGTTTCTTGAAAATCCGCGAAGCAGTCACCATGGCGGGACTCCAGCTTGAGATGATTGGACGTGTAAGCGTTCCTCTGAGAAATGTGGCTTGAGACTTAAGATTTCACCTTCACGTTCCATGTATGTGCGTGTGATGTTGTCATCTCATCGCTCAACAAGCCCAAAACGCGGAGGTCTTTGCACACAGGGACAGGCGTGTTGGAAATGCATTTCAAACATAGGCGGTGGTTGGCTTGTTACTTGCCATGGCTTTGCCCCAATGTCAAGGTTCTCACTCCACGTGGGTTGGTCTTTGACTGCAAAAATAGACTTGTTGCTACTCAACAGGGAAATAGTCATGATCCACCAAAGTCAAAAAGGTCAAAGAACGAGCACGTAAAATCATGCCCTTCGCTGCTGGCGATCCGTGCCGCGCAGATTAAATTTGCTGCGTGCCGGTGATCGAACGCCCCAAGGCAACTCCTCCAAAACTGCCAGCTGTACAAGCGGTCGATGTCCACAGAAAGCAAGCCACACATCGACCGACACCCACAGAAAGCCACCCCTCATCTGACTCGCTGGCCGCAGCCCGTTCGCAGGCTGAGGCAAACACGCTCTAGGCAAAGGCCAAAGGTCCAAAACAAGGGACCTTCGGCAAAGGTTGGATTGTGTTACCCCTCGTTTCCATTCGCATGACATCCGGCCGGCGTGACGTGATTCACACCATCAGCAACGGCTTGAAGGTGTTCTGGGATTTCTGGCCAGACTGTCCCCTCGCCACGATCCTAAGAGAGTCACACCAGAAATTGAAAACTTGCAGTGGACGGACAACTAGGCAAAAGAGTAAGAGTATTGCATGTTGCAGCTCCGCAAAACAGAGAAGGGTGACATCCGGGATAGCGGAACAAACCTGTTCCTTGTGAGTCACCCCACATGTTCCCTGGGCACCATTGCCTCATACCTGCTCCCTTTCTGGCATTCTGCAACTTCACGGCAAGGAATTCATGAAAACAAGTCACAACAAGTAGACCAACTTTAGCTCACCCTGATCCTGCACAACCATAACACGAGTAACTCAGTCTGAGCTACATGAAGGCCTCAAAGTTTATGGTCTGTTTTATGATGGGCAGCCATGGCCTCCAAAACAGGTTGGCTCCTCCCTGCCAAAACGAAAGCCCCCTTACAAACAGCGTTTGGCCACCAAAGAAGGGTGCTTTCCTTACGGATCTAACTGGGCAGAGATTGAACCTTCCCCATATTGAACCAACACGCCGACCAAGTTCAACGGTGAACCACTATCCTTCCTTCAGCCAAGGCACTCATGCACAATCTCATCGCACTCAAACCTTCGACGCAAAGCCAAGACAGCTTGACATATTCGCAATATAGTCAAACAAATATAGCCTGTAAATGTACAATTAAAATATACATGATAGATCGTGTTTATGTTTATGACATTCAATCGAATTTTAGATATTGTATTGTCTTATATGAAGAGGTCTATGAAGACCGATAGCAAAGAAGCGCAATATCGTACAAAACTCGTTGTGCATAAGTGTACACAATCTACTAAGAGTTGTGCAATAATAACCGTTAAACAAATACAAACAACAGAAGAAACACATTCTGCAAGGAACCTTATAAGGAACCCCTCCAAGGAGCGTTGTAAGGAACTTAAATGTTCTTTATTTCTTTCTTTCGTTCTTTATTTGTTTCTTTCTTTCTTTCTTTCTTTCTGCCTTTCTTTCTTTTCTCCTTCCCTTCTTTCGTTCTTTCTGTCTTGCTTTGTTTCTTTCTTTCTTTATTTCTTTCTTTCTTTCTTTCTTTCTTTCTTTCTTTGTTTCTTTCTTTTCCTTCCTTCTTTCTTTCTTTCTTTTATTTTCTGTACTGTTCTTTTCTTTTGTTTTCTGGTATTTCTCCCTTTCTTTTGTTCTTGATTTCTTTCTTTCTTGATTTCTTTCTTTCTTTCTTTCTTTCTTTCTTTCTTTCTTTTGTTTCTTTGTTTCTTTGTTTCTTTGCAACTTTGTTTCTTTGCATCTTTGCATCTTTGTATCTTGGTATCTTTGTATCTTTGTATCTTTGTTTCTTTGTTTCTTTGTTTCTTTGTTTCTGTGTTTCTTTGTTTCTTTGCTTCTTTGTTTCTTTGTTTCTGTTTTTCTTTGTTTCTTTCTTTCTTTGTTTCGTTTTCTCTCTGTTTCTGTTTTTCTTTATTTCTTTATTTCTTTCTTTCTTTCTTTGATATCTTTTCTGTCTCGCTCTGTCTCTCTCTCTCTCTCTGTCTCTCTGTCCTTTCTTCCTTCCATCCTCCCTCTCCTTCATGCCTTTTTTCGCTTGCTTGCTTCCTTGCTTCCTTGCTTCCGTGCTTCCTTGCTTCCTTGCTTCCTTGCTTCCTTGCTTCCTTGCTTCCTTGCTTCCTTGCTTCCTTGCTTCCTTGCTTCCTTGCGTTCTTGCTTCCTTGCGTTCTTGCTTTCTGGCTTTATTGCTTTGTTGCTTTCTTGTTTTTTGGGCTTGTTGCTTTCTTGCTTTCTTTCTGTCTCTCTCTCTCTCTCTCTCTCTCTTTCCTCTCTCTCTCTCTCTCGCTCTCTCTCTCTCTCCCTCTCTCTCTCTCTCTCTCTCTCTCTCTCTCTCTCTCTCTCTCTCTCTCTCTCTCTCTCTGCTCTCTCTGTGGTCTCTTTTGTCTTGTACTGAACATAGCATTAAACTTCACATGGCTATGCTTTAAACCATGGTTTCACTCAACGAGTTTTCAAGCGCTGCTATTCACAGCGTGCCTTCGTTGAGCGCAAAAACGTTGAGCCTGATGGTCCACTTGGCACCTTCCCAAGTGGCAAGCAGGACAAACTGGATTCAAGCCCAATACCTTGGAAGACTGTTTGCCAATCTTGCCAAAGTCCAGAGCGCATGCCATAAGCTGTGAGCCTAGTTGAACAGCCTGGCACATGCAATGGTGTATGTCAAAAATAAGCATCTTTACAAACTTACAAACGTGGGTGGCTGCGAACAAAATTGTTGAGCCTGTACAGTCCGATAAACACCCCAACATGGCGGGAGGAATCGAAGCTGGATTCAAGCCCAATACCTTGGAAGACTGCACAACAGTCTTGCCAAAGTCCAGAGCACATGCCATGAGCTGTAAGCTTCGCTGAACAGCTTAGCACATGCAATGGTGCGCTTCAAGCGCTGCTATTCACAACGTGCCTTCGTTGAGCAAAAAAAAACGTTGAGCCTGATGGTCCACTTGGCACCTGCCCAAATGGCAAGCAGGACAAACTGGATTCAAGCCCAATACCTTGGAAGACTGTTTGCCAATCTTGCCAAAGTCCAGAGCGCATGCCATAAGCTGTGAGCCTAGTTGAACAGCCTGGCACATGCAATGGTGTATGTCAAAAATAATCATCTGTACAAACTTACAAACGTGCGTGGCTGCGAACAAAATTGTTGAGCCTGTACAGTCCGTTAAACACCCCAACATGGCGGGAGGAATCGAAACTTGATTCAAGCCCACTACCTTGGAAGACTGCATAACAGTCTTGCCAAAGTCCAGAGCACACGCCATGAGCTGTAAGCTTCGCTGAACAGCTTAGCACATGCAATGGTGCGCTTCAAGCGCTGCTATTCACAACGTGCCTTCGTTGAGCACAAAAACGTTGAGCCTGATGGTCCACTTGGCACCTGCCCAAATGGCAAGCAGGACAAACTGGATTCAAGCCCAATACCTTGGAAGACTGTTTGCCAATCTTGCCAAAGTCCAGAGCGCATGCCATAAGCTGTGAGCCTAGTTGAACAGCCTGGCACATGCAATGGTGTGTCAAAAATAAGCATCTGTACAAACTTACAAACGTGCGTGGCTGCGAACAAACTTGTTGAGCCTGTACAGTCCGTTAAACACCCCAACATGGCGGGAGGAATCGAAACTGGATTCAAGCCCAATACCTTGGAAGACTGCACAACAGTCTTGCCAAAGTCCAGAGCACATGACATAAGCCGCGAGCCGTGCTGAACAGCCTAGCATATGCAATGGGGAGGTTAAATGGGCACGCGTTCGGGATTGCCAAGCCACTAATGCTGTGACAAACGCAGCCCTGCACTCGTTGCAAAACTTGCACTGAGCGATGGCTCAGACAGAAAATCGATCGCCCTCACGTGGAGCCTCCTCCAAGTCCCTTGCTTGACGCCTAACCTTCCAATCCAAGCCAAGCAAGATCAACAAGCTCGCGGCCATGAGGACCCCAACGGAGATAAACCCGCCCTCATAGGAGCCGATCACATCGTACACGTGGCCCACTAAAGGAGCCCCCAAAGAACTGAACACGAAGGCGAAACCGAGGAGGCCGTAAGCCTTTGATGCCTGCTCCTGACCAAAGAGTTCACCGCACACCAGGCTGATGGGCCGCCCACCTGCGAAAAGGCCGCAACAGGCCGCGAAGGCTGTGAAGTGCTCGTAGGATTGACACCAGGGCAGCAGAAACATCATGATAGAATTCCCCAGCACTGTAATGCAGTACACTCGCAGATAGGCGCCGCCAAGAAGATCCCCGAGCCGAGAAAACAGGATTCGGCCTATCCCATTGAAGGTCCCGAAGATCGACAACAAGCCGGCGGCATCTGCGGGGTTCACGCCTCGATCCCGTGCCAAGGATGCCAGATGCACAAACGGCACTGAGAAGCCCGCGAGGTAGAGGACCGAGCCCAGAAAGAGCAGCAGAAAGTCGATGTTTGTGAACCACTGCATCAAGCCCCCCCTCACTGACTTGCATGCCTGGCATCGTCCTGATTCAGATGAAGCCGCAATCGTTGACCGGCACTGATCTGATTTTCCATTTGCCGAATCTTTGAAGTAGTGGCCACGCTGCTGCAACATCCTGACCCCTACCAGGACTGGAACAAGGGTCGCAGCTGCTGACGCGGCAAGCACCCGCATGGCGTTGGGCAGCCCATACTCGGTGGCGAGGTAGTGCAGGCAAGGGGAGAGAAACATGGTCCCAAAGCCACCCGCGGAGGCTGCTAGTCCAACGCAAAGCCCACGGTGGGAGCGAGGAGTGAACTTGTAGATCACATCCAACTGGGCCATGTAGAGGATTCCCATGCCCATGCCCACTGCAAACCCATGTGTGGGAATCCACATGTCTAGGGATGCAGCAACCCCATTTCCTGCCAAGCCCCCCACAAGCAAAACGCTTCCCAGCATGTATGCTGTCAAAAGTCCAAAGCGCTGAATCAGGGCTGGAGTCGGCACATAGGTGAGCAGGAATACAAATTCATTGATCGACCCAATAAAAGCAGTTTTGGCACGGTTTGCATTGTACTCGTCTAGTAGCGCCGTGAAAACGGCACCATTGGACAGGTACAAAGTGAAGGACCACAAGAGTGTCAAGATGCAAAGGACTGTGGCGCACACTGCTGTGGACAGGCGATGAAGCCTAGTAGCCTCAGGCGCATCAGTCACAATTTTCGGCATGGTCGGCTCCATCGTGCCAGTTGCCTTCATCTCTGGCACTTTCATGGCTGGCGATGAATAAAGGATACACTATTCAAACTTGCGCAAAGCCAAACGCTGCCATGCGCATAGCGTGCAGGTGCCTACCATGTCAAGCAACAACACATTGGAAGTCTGTTGCACTCAGCAAGTTCAAGAGATGCTCAAAAACCTTCGCTGGCTGTGGAAAACAGGGCTCCGAAACAAAGTTGGTTCATGGTTTCGCCTCAAAGTACCTTGCCGCTGTTGAACGAAGGTCCACATCCAGCGGACAGAAATAACATCCAGATGCGGTGCGGTGCTCAGTGCTTAACCACCTTTGGCCCAGGGGCTTGCAATCGATGCAGAAGAGGAAGCTGATGAAGCCGCTAAAGCCCTCCTCAGGGATAGCCGGGGCGTGGGTTGCAATGAGCGAGGTCTAGTCTGGATGCCATACGTGGATTCTCCTGGCAATAACGTAAGGAACACAAAGAGGAGATGCTTCCCACAGAAACAAGGGTCCAGTACTAAAAAACGGATTCTTGGGTTCCATGCCAAGCAAGGCAGTGCCTCATGTTGTGCCTTTTGCCTTCCTCTGAAGAAGATCCATTGGTGGAGCACAACAAAACCTCACCCAGGCACTACCCAAGGTAAATAGGGCATATGACGATCACTATATAGCCGATAGCCAATGTATAAAGATGTTGCGCTGGCAAAAGATGGACCTCACCTGTGAGCTGTCTTTGAAGGAATCCAAAGCCTCTGCAGCAGCCGAGTGATGCATCTGCCAAACCAATCACACAAAAGAAGTAGTCCTTGAGAAGTCGGCTCTCTTTGGCCGAAGTGCTGTCTTTTTCTTCATGTACCAATATATGCATGCCTTTGCATACGCATGTAATTGCACACGCATATATATATATATATAATACATATATATATATATATATGCGTCCGATATACATATATATATATATATACACACACATATGCATGAAGCATAAAATTGGCACATGCCAAAGAACCTCCTGATTAAAAACGCCCGGCTTTCCCAGCCGACTGCCAACCAATACTGGGCGCCCACAAGCTTTGGCCAAAAGACCCTTCTTGATGTTTTGCCGGACGTCCCTGTCCGTCCCAAAAGTGTCTTTGCAAAAACGAGGTTTGACAAGCTCGTACAGGGTACCCCACCCTTGCAAGAGTGCAACCCTCTTGAAGAGCACAAAACCCCTCTCTCCAGCTTTGGAAAATACTACATGCAATGTCCCTTTACTTTCCTGTTCTATTGTCCAGACAGGGCACCCAGCAAAAGACCAGAGAGGATTGGCCAGGTCTAGGCTAATCCGAGGGGGCCGCCCAGAGGACCCTCCATCCGGTTTTCCAAGACCTTGAAGGGGGCGGAGCATTAATCATGTCCCCCCATTATGCGTCTATCAAGCAACACACAAGGGAAACAACTGAAGCCTGGCGCCAAGTCTCGAAGACGAACTCGAAGTAGTGCGCAAGCTGCTCACCGGGCCCGCCGTGAGTGCCGCCCAGGCCATTGTAAATGCCCAGCTGAATCACGGCAATGGCCAGCGTCAGGACCGTCGCCTTTCACCGCCAAGCAAATGAAAGATGGCGCAAAGGAATTTCGAGCTAACTCAGAGGGTTGCGTCACAAACGAATCTTTGCCAAGAGAAGTGATGAGCAGTTATGCACACTTGCAACCGTAGAGCAGGAAGAATCTTTAAGAAGTTGAGGGTTTGACCTGGTCCTAGAGATTCTGAAACCCAGCTTTCAGGGGACCTGAAAATTCCTCTTGCCTCCCGCTTTTCTCGAGACGCATGGTTGAGATCTTCCATTTTGCCAGCTGGGCGCATAACTTGTGGAAAGTCGTGTTTCTTGCGCGCCTACCTCTTGCGAGTGACTTTGAACATCGTATAAAGACGTGCCACGCGTATTCACGCGCCTAGCTCTCAAATCAATCTGGGTCACGAGCTTGGGCTCTCTGCTTGGACCCTGGCACTTCTTGGGATAGTGGGAAGCAACTATCAACCACACAGAAGTCAACAAGGATACGTTATCGTTTGGCTTTGGTTGACTTTTTCTGCCTCGCAGCAAATCTGTGAGCGCTTCCCCAATTGGCTGGATTCCCTCGAATTGGCACAAAGGTGTTTTGCCAGTACCTCTCTTTAAAGCCGTCCAAGCGGGCTAACAATTTCAGGAAACACCTCCTGGCAGAACTCAAACGGGCGACCCTGTGCCTATGAGGAGAAGAGCGACTCCCCAACATGTGTTCTCGGGACGCTGGACAGGCGACAATCGGCGCAATGGAATTGCATGCGGTTGGTTTCTGGAGGACGGTTTTCGTTTCTTGCTGTTGACAACCATGAACACAGCAAATTTGGACGACATTAGATTTGCATTGTGCAAGCTTCCTGCCCTTAAGCTTAAAGTTGAAGCTGTTGCCAAACGCCCGAAGAAGGCGCCCTAAAGCACCCATGGATGTGTCTTGCATGAGAGCTATCAAACATCATGACAAGGAAATATGTTCCGGTTGAAGATCGCTTTGTGTACAGTGTGGCATTCTCTGCTTTCGCTCAACTACACCGCGAACCCGGACCAAGCAAACTTAATCACGACGCAGATGGTATTTAGCACGGCCGTGAAAACAAGAAGTTGGGCACAAGGCACAGGCCGTGGTCACACACCATCGTGCTAAATTCGCGCCGGGCATCGGCAAATTGGAAGAGTAAACCACTCTCCCGCAAGGAATGCTTCTTCACCAGGCTGTAGACAAATATCATGTCCAGAATGGCCATGGTGATTTCCTCAGAGGCTTTGGGAAAGACTTGCTTACACAACCAGCTCCGGTATCCTGCAAGGGGAATTACGGAAACTACGTCTTTTAACAGACATACGGACAAAGCTGTAAGCATCCAATTGCCATGAGTTGGGGCTGCTGCTGCTCCATGCACACCCTGCCCCTTGAAAACTGCCCTATCCCACCCAACCCGCCCACGCATCCATCCATCCATCCGTCCGTCCATCCGTCCGTCCGTCCGTCAGTCCGTCCATCCATCCATCCATCCATCCATCCATCCATCCATCCATCCATCCATCCATCCATCCATCCATCCATCCATCCATCCATCCCTCCGCCAGCCCGCCCGCCAGCCCGCCCGCCCCACCGCGCTCAGCCCAACCCAACTCACCCCTACCCTAACCTACCCGAGCCCGGCGAACCAAACTGAACTGTTCTGCAGCGGAAGCTTGCGTGTCACTTTGCAGTTTGGCTTGGCTGCCAGGGAAATGGCCCAGCTGCTTCTGAGTTCAGCCCCCGGAACCCGTCTCGGAACCCCCGGAAAGCAGGCTGGGGCTTGGGTTGTCTCACTGCTACTGTGGATTGACGGAACAGCCCGCCTGCTGAGTGGTTTCCCCCAGAATGAAGAACTAGCGTACAGTATAATTGTTTGTTCTTTGAATATCAAAACTGTTTCAAAGTGAATCTACTATTAGTTGTCCTGTTATTTCCTCAGATGAGAAATACGGACTGCTCAGGTAGCAATATTCACGTCAGCGCCAGCCACTCGGCTTAAGCAAGGTGGGGAGCCAGGGCTCACTCCCAGTCTCTGGTCGAATCCTGCGCCAAGCACTAGGCTCTGCAGGCTGCTGGGCAGATTCAGTCCCAATGGTTGGTTGAAGTCGTGGCCAAATGAAAGACTCTGCAAGGACCCCGGAGGTTCCGTCAAAGGCTGATTGAAGCGATCCCCAAATCTCAGTGTTTGCAGATTGGGCAGATGCACCCCTTGCAAGGGTTGGTTGTATAAGTCTCCAAAGGTCAGGCTCTGCAGGCTGGGCAGACTCACTCCCTGCAAGCTTTGGTCATATTCGTGGCCAAAGCTTAGGCTCTGCAGGTCGGGCAGATCGACGCCTTGCAGACTGTGGTTGAACTGACTGCCAAAGGCAAGGCTTTGCAGGGCTTTTGGAAGCGTCACCTGCATGCCTTGGTTGAAGTTGTGGCCAAATGTTAGGCTCTGCAGGCTGCTGGGCAAATCCGCTCCGAGCAAGCTCATGTTAAACTCATGGCCAAATGTCAGGCTCTGCAGGGTGCTTGGCAGGCCCACGCCTCGCAACGTTTGGTTGAAGCCCTGACCAAAAGTGATGCTCTGCAGGCTGCTTGGCAGGCTTACTCCTTGCAAACTTTGATTGAACCAAAGGCCAAAGGTTAGGCTGGTCACAGACAAGCTTGCTCCTGTGGCCGTCTTGTGGTAGTCACAGCCAATTTTTAGGCTCCTCAGCGTGTCTGGAAGACTCGCTTCGGCCAAGCTTTGGATGAACTCATTGCCAAAGCTCAAGCTCTGCAGGCAATGAGGCAGTGTCACTTCCTGTAGGCTTTGATTGAACCTCCGGCCAAACGAGAGGGCTTGCAGGGCGTTGGGCAGATTTACGCCTCGCAGGCTCTGATCAAAGTGATCCCCAAATGTCAGAATCTGCATGGCGCTTGGCAGAGTCACGCCCTCCAGCTGCTGGTTGAACAAATCTCCGAAGGTGAGGCTCTGAAGCCCGCTGGGCAAATTCACTCCCTGCAATCTTTGGTTAAAATCGTCGCCTCAGCCCCGGCGTCCACAGAAACGGACAAAAGGACACCCTCTTTGTTGTTGCTTTCAAAGGGAAACCCTTCCCAACAAGCGAGAGAAAGGATGCCACTGGCCAACCGGGTTGCCAAAGGTCAAGCTCCGTAGGGCTGCGGGCAAGCTCACTCCCAGCAGGCTGTGATTAAAGAAGAAGCCGAAGGTCAAGTTCTGCAAGCTCTCAGGCAACGTCACTCCGTCCAAGCTTTGGTTGAACAAATCCCCCATCGTCCTGAAGCAGTTAGTTGATCCCTTGATGAAGCTTCTTTCTAAAGAGGATGTGTCACACACACACACACACATAGGTGTCCTTTTAGAGGAAATAGATGACCCTGGTAGATGATTAAACTACCAGATAAACCAGGGCCATCTATTTTTCTACCAAAACAACCAAAAAGGACCCAATGGTCATAAAATCGCCCCAAAGTCAAGTGCAACTGGCTGTGCGAACCGAGCGTCAAGCTTCGCAAAGTATCAGGTAGACTCACTCCCCGCAAGCTTCGGTCGTTTTTGCAGCCGGCGGTCAAGCATTGTAGACTGGCCACATCAACCCCCTGCAGACTTTGGTTGAACTGATCACCAAACCTTGGCCATTGTGCACTGCCCAAAAAAAAGGAACTGGCTACCTTTTCTGCTTTTTGCTAGATGCCCAGACGCCTGTTCAGCGCTTTTTGCCCCCGAGGTTTTCCAGGCCAAGTAATTTCGGGCCGAGCACTGGTGAAATGCACATGGGTGTATCATTTTAGAAATTGGACCCCCCAAAATGGGTGGCTTTCCTTTTGACAGGGGGTAGCCACAATTGCAAAAAAGAAGAAAAAAAGAGAAAAAACCGAGCCACCCACATGGCCAACCAAAAAGTAGCTTGAAGATCCAAGCAAATAGCATCCAAGAAACATCAGGCACTGCAGGTTTGGTAGACTCAGTCCTTGCAGGCTTTGGTTGAAGCGGTGCCCAAATGTCAGACTCTGCAGGTTGGGCAGGTGCAGTCCTCTTAAGCTTTGGTTGAACTGATTGCCAAAGGTCAGGCTTTGCAGAGAGCCGGGCAAACACACCTCTTGCAAACTCTGATTGAACTCATAGCCGAAAGTTAGGCTCTGCAAAGTCAGAGGCAGAGTCAGTCCCTGCAGACTTTGGTTGAAGGAATCGCCAAAGGTGAGGCTCTGCAAGGTCTGCGCCAAGCCCAGGATTGGCAAAAGCTCCAAGGTGCTTCTTTGCCAGCACATGTCCACAATTCCTTACCGTCCGTCTGATACCCTCCAAATGGATTGCCCAGTGTCAAACAGAGCCTCTGGTGAAAATCACAATCTGCCAATCCATATTTAGCTTTGTTTGAGAACATCAACAAACACACGCAATTTAGCACCCAGATGGGCGATAAAACTGAATGCGCTTGTTGCAGCGCCTAAAAATCGGCCAATATCAAAAAGGCGAAAACACAACACAGCCAAAAGAGCGAAACAAAACTGGGGACACATGAGGCCTGGGCAAAGTCACACGTATCCCAAAAGGACTTTGCACAAATGGGCTGTTCTCTTGGTTGTGTGGAAACTTGGCTTGCCCTCTAAACCAACAGCGACTACCAGTGATATAGCCCATTGCTCATATGATCTAAAGACCCTCAGAGGGTAGAAATTTGGTCGTTGAAAGGAAAGCAGAGGACATCGCTCAGGATATCCCTGAGGGACCTGCACATGTTTGGTGAGCTTGTTTCACGCCTGTTGCACCATGTGAGCTCACTATATGCTTGTCAACATGGTCATCCAAACAATGTATCGTCCAGCAACTCGGGAGCTGAGAAACAACAAGAGCGAAACCTCCATTTGCTTAAAACCAACAAGGGAAAACAAGGGAAAACGGCACATATTCATAAACGAATGCAAACAAAAAAACTGGCCGTCGCAAAGGCTCCCTCCAGCACCTGAGGGTCCCTTTCAAGGCTATGTTCCGTCAGCACATCCCAGGCCATCAGTAGATTGATTTGGCCTCAGCGCCGCTTCTTTCCACCAAGCTGCCATGGGAACCAAAACCCCCCTGTATTTTGGCGCTTCCTCTACAGGTTTTCCGGCGCACAACACAAGGACCTGCAAAAAAAAGGATTACGGGAATAAATACATAAAATAAATCAAACAAATGATGGTTGCCTTTTTGGCTTCTCCTTGAAACCAACCAAACGGGGGTTTCCCAAAAAAAGTCACACTACATTGGTGGTTTAGATAGGGCTTTGCTTCCCAGTCCTTTTGAAGATGTGACTGATTCCGAAAGCCCGGCTGTTGGCCGGCTGGCTGATTCCGCCGCTCTGGCTGGCTGGCTGGCCGATTCCGGCGTGTAGTTCACTGGCTCCGTCTTCGTTACAGCAGGTGAAACCACGAACTCAGTAACTTGGTGCACAAGTTATCTGCAATTTGCTGCTTAGGTGTTTGCATGAGCAGCTTCATGGTGGCAAGCATGTTCTGCTAGTGCTGATGCTAGATGAGAAACCCATAGTTCATGAATTTGAAGTGTTAGCCCCCTCAATCGTTGAGTTGCAAGCAAGTTCCAGAGCAATCAGCCGATGCTCGTAAGCTAGCATCGGAAGTACTTGCTTGAGAATCATCTCCAATAGCACACATGTAAGAAACAAGCTGTTTACAACAACAACAACAACAACAACAACAACAACAACAACAACAACAACAACAACAAGAACAACAAGAACAACAAGAACAACAAGAACAACAAGAACAACAAGAACAACAAGAACAACAAGAACAACAAGAACAACAAGAACAACAAGAACAACAAGAACAACAAGAACAACAAGAACAACAAGAACAACAAGAACAACAAGAACAAGAAGAACAAGAAGAACAAGAAGAACAAGAAGAACAAGAAGAACAAGAAGAACAAGAAGAACAAGAAAAACAAGAAGAACAAGAAGAACAAGAAGAACAAGAAGAACAACAAGAGCAAGAAGAACAAGAAGAACAAGAAGAACAAGAAGAACAAGAAGAAGAACAAGAAGAAGAACAAGAAGAAGAACAAGAAGAAGAACAAGAAGAAGAACAAGAACAAGAACAAGAACAAGAACAAGAACAAGAACAAAGAACAAGAACAAGAACAACAACAACGACAACAACAAAAACAAGAACAAGAACAAGAACAAGAACAAGAACACGAACAAGAACAAAGAACAAGAACAATAACAAGAACACGAACAA